TGTTGTATTTCATACTTGCTAGGATAACTTGTTAATAAGTTTTAATTGACATTTAAATCGGATTAGATTGGCATAAGACCCTAATCACCCCCCCTCTAGGGTCCAACAAAATTAACATAGTAGTGAGAAATTTATTTTTGTAAATGATAAAAAAATATATGGGAGTTATAATTTGATTATACCATAAGTCAACATATAAAAACTTGATTAAGCCTAAAACTAATTTAACATATAATGTAGTCACCATATAAACTTTAAATTTAAAAATAGACAGAAATGAAAATTTAGATATACGTAAAATATCTTGAAGGTAATGATGAATTACAGTTAATTCATGTCCTTAAATTTGACATCTATCTATAAGATATTGAAAGTTTAGATAAGTGTGAAATATATATAATTTTAAATCTACAATATATCTTTTATATGTTATAAAATCTAAAAGTAAATCTTAAATATAATCATAAATATGTCAAAAATATTATATATTAATTATTATTTTACTATAATTTAAATAATTAAATTTATAAAATCTCTAAAATTTAACGAATAAATTAAATAATACAAAATTTTAGTATTATTATTTATTAAATTTTTTATAGTATATTTTTAATAATGATATATGTTATAAAATATCAAATTTATGAGTGAATAATATCTTTAAAAATCTTGAATATCCTTAAATTATACTTTACGTTATATATACATACATACATACATACATACATTCATACATACATACATACATGTATGTAATCAGTTATCATATATTCTTTAAGGAGATAGACGAGTTCTTCATGTGGGGGTCTAAGAATTAATTATATTTTCTCCCAACTATGCCAAGGTATTTTTTATTTATTTAATTTTACTACTAATAATTTATTTATCGAAGTGATATTTATTCATAATTCATTAAAAATTTTTAGTTATATTAATTAAATCAAACATTGTCCTACTTATTATTTTTAATAGGAATTTTAAATCTCATTTATTTCTTTTGCATTGAACGCCATGTGTTTTTAAATTGAAATTTTTAAAAAATTATTAGCTCATTAAATTATATACACATTTTATCTAAATTTAAAATAAAATACTCAATTAAACACATTACATGGTTAATCTTAGACTTTATTGAAATTAATGATGAATCTAATATTATTTAATATTTATTTACTAATTTATTATATTCCCTAATTATCATGAATTTTTAGAAATTTTTATAATATATATTGTTCCTTATTTGTTATTTGACAACATGATTTCTATGAAAGTACCCTAGAGGGGGGTGAATAAGGTTATTGCTAATATTATTAGATATTAATACCGATTAAAATTAATTAACAAATATATCCTAACAATATTGATATTCAATTTGATATATGCAAGGATATATGAACAAGAGTAAATAAACAAGTGATAGTGCGCAAATGACAAACACAAACACAAGATATGATCACAGAGTTCGGTCCTCACAACCTACGTCTCCGCTCCTCACCTCGAGGAGATCTTTCCTATTACAATCGGGTTTTCTACGCTCACCTGAACAACGTTTATACCTCACAATCGATTTTCTAGTTCACCGAAAACTTTACAATCTCACACTCTTGCAATCCCACTTTACACCCTCTAAGTGTTGGTCTCTAGCACATGTCTCCCTCAAGTATTAGGAATTACAACCTACCTCTAGCCATTACCACCTACCCCACTCCTCTTGGGACAACCCCGTCTCTCACCACACACTTCTCTCGGTGTACAAGTG